CTTTTTAATAGTGGAGGGGCTATCAAATGCCATCTGCTTCTGAGATTTCTAACATATACAGGAATGGTTAAAAAAATGTATTCGGATCTTGGTAAGTAAAACCCCAAGTTGGTTATAATCAAAACTAGAAGAAATCCCTTTTACTCCTTAGAGTTTGGGATCACTACGAGAGCAACAGAACCCCAGAGAGGAGGCTCCCCAGTTGACACGTGGCAGAGACTATTCATTTATGTTCAGAGGGGTGGTTGTTGAAAACACTTAGAGCATGTTAGGACCAATTGTCCAAAACTCAGCTTCCCACCCCATATGGAACAGAAAAGCTTGATTCTGCCCTCCAGGGTTTTGTGGGATGGTTGCCTAACTTTTAAGTCCAGGTCTGTAGAAATAGGATTTTCTCCCCATTGCCTTTCTACACAAGTGTTACTTAACCATATAAGATGAAAATCAGAAAGCTATAGAATGTTAGTGAAAATACTCCCATTCTTGGTTTTTTCCATTTCTCTTTGTTAGAAAACTAATTCTGCTTCCTTCCCAGGTTTAAGGTAGTCAAAAAGGCAGCTTCTAGTCAGTAGTCCCTGACCACACCTGTGCAGCTGGGATTGGAATTCAATATCTACTAACAGGGTTCTACCTTAAAGAGCCCTTCAAAGAGGTGAGCTTCATAAAGGAGGAAAAGGGCCAGGGCTTTGCATTTCTTAGCATAAATCTTTTTTTTTACAGAGTTAGAAACTCCCTCATGGTTGGATTATGAGTCTTGGGAGCGGAGATGTGAAGAAAAAAAAAAGACTCTCTTCATGGGAAATATTACTTGCATAACAACGTGCATATTATGTCTTTTTCAATATTTAATTGCAAGAAGGTTACTAACTGGAATTAAAGGCTTTAACTCTGCCATGAGAACCAGGAGGAAACATGCGGAAATTGGGCCTTCTTCACTTCTCAGGAGGACCAGGGATTTCAGGATGAGGATAAACACTACCTGCAGGTCATTGGGCTTGGGAGAATAGTGACGCTCCTCGTGATGGTTTCTGGATGGAGAGGAGGGGGACTCTCCCCAACAGACTCCAGGATGAACTCAGCAAGGACAGCTTGGTGCTGGGTTAGTACTGAGTAGGCAGCTGCCTCTGCTCCTTCAGTAAAGCTCTTCTTCCATTTTTCAAAACATAGACTTTTGTGTCGAGTTCCATGGTACTCACCCCATCCACACTTTGCGTTTGAGAAAAATAGACACCAGGCCTTCTCACAGTTCCCCAGATGGTATTAAACCAGAGGGCATTCCCTCAATTAACTTTGGCTTTCACCAATAATCGTAGCATTGCTTCTTTCTCCCCGGCCTGGTAATTAAGCTAATGACTCAATAGAAAAGAAAAGGCACTGGCCAAGCTTCTTTCTATGTCAGTGAAAGGCATACTTTGCAATCTTTTATATTCATCCAAGCAAAGCTAATACTATTTTTTAAAATCTTATATATTTACAATCTGTGTTGCCACAACTAAAGTTTAAACCAAAATTAATTATACAAGTGTCAAATTCAATCTCAGCCAGACTGGGCTATGTCAGAATTTCAGCATTGACCAATATCAGTGAAATGTCTTTTTTGTAGCTGAGAGATCATCTATACTTCTAAATTCTCAAAGTATTAAAATTCTAAAATCTTTGAACTAGAAAGGATCCTAGTCCATGTGACTACTCAGTCTTGCTACCCATGAGAATTGTCTTCAAAATTGTCCCTTTCTTGTGAAGTCATTCTTGGTGCAGTCAAAAATTTTGGGGTTACTTCTTTGTATTCCAACTGTCTGAGATTGTTGTGAGGATGTGGGTGTGGTTGGAAAAAAAACATCCTCTCTGACCCATAGTTCTTTCTTCACAGTGCACTGCTTTCATACTGCTTCTCATGAATAAAACATATTCACATGACATTTGTACTTCTCCTTGTTTATTCAGTTTATGCAGATAGTCCCTTCCTTTGCACAGGCAAAGAAGTGTTCATTCAGTAGGGTTAGCGATGATGAAAAAGAGGCCTAAGAATCTTCTCATCGTGCTTAAGAGCACACGATGGGACCCTCTTAGCCATGGAACAACAAGGAAAAGTCTTGGACTCTGGGTGTATAACTTAGTCAGCTTCCTTCCTATAACAAACTTGTTCACTTTCCAGGACCAAAGAAATTCCCATTAACTTTCTTCTTCTGAAAGCAAAAATCTATGTATCTTGTCTGTCAGGAATAAAGGAGGGAAGGAAGGAGAGAAGAATCAGAGTAGCTTCAATTTCACTTTTCAGAAAACTACAAACTTCGGTCAATTTGAAAATATGGACCTCCAGTAAAATGTACCTGGCGTCTTGGTTTTTTGTAGAGCAAGGTGAGTCACTTAGGGGATCACATGAGAGACATGAGGTTCAGTCTGTACAGAGCTCATCCTGAAATGTGGAAGGGACTTACGGCTGCTCTAACCAGGTCAGGCCATCTCCAGTCATGACATTTGGCTCAAAAGTGACTGCTTGGCATGTGCTGGCTGTTCCCATAGCTGAATTATCCCTGTGCCAACTTGGCTCATGAAATGTTTACCAGAAATTTATAATAATGTGGTGAAAGGCACAGATAGGCCCAGAGGGCTTTTTAAACTCTACTTGCTTAATTTCTGCTTTTAGAATAATGAGGCAGAACAAAATGACTGGGGGTAATTTTTAACAGATCTGCCCTGCCATTTGCAGGGCCCCACCAAAGGAACAAAGGAGGCCTACATGATGAATTTATAAAGCAAGCTAACAAACAGTTATTAAATAAGGTAAAGATATAACTTTTCCTTTTACCTTGACACATGTGCCTTACTAATCTTTAAGGTTTGGCCTGGATTTAGAATATTCACACTGAGGCTGGACATGGTGGTGCATGTCTTTAACCCCAGCACTTGGGAGGCAAAGGCAAGAGGATTAATAGTTCCTGATCAGCCTTGGCTTATCATAGAGAAGGCCATGTCTCAAAAAAAAAAACCCCACAAAAAACAAAAAACAGGGCTGGCAGATTGGCTTAAGTAGTAGAGCACCTGCCTAGCAAGCATCAGGCCCTAAGTTCAAACCTAGTACTGCACAAAAAAAAAAAACTTCAAAAAACACATAAGCAAAATAAGCCCAAAACCAGGCAGATAGATAAGACAGACATCCTTCTAGCCCCTTTAAAAGGGGAGATCACTTGAAACTATTGAATATCTCCTTCTTCACTAAATGAACATCTTCCTCACTGGACTTGGGGTAAAACACTGCACACCAGGGTGCACCCCTCACCTGCTGTGATTTGCTGAACTAGAATGAAACACTTGCATCTCATCTGTACTCACTTTGCCTGGTCAGCTCCTGCCTTTGGTTTAGAATGGCAGATAGAGGTAGCCTATAAAACCACAGCATAATTTGAAGGTTACTACAAGGTCCCAAGTACCTGTTGGACAAAATATTCCCCTATTGATGTGCCATGTCTACTATCTCCCTATCTGCATACTCTGAAATTCCTTTGATTTTTCCCCCATTTGGGGAAGTAAGACCAGCAAAAGACACTGGAAGTGACATCATTATCCCAGCAAAAGATACCACTGGGATAATGACGCCACTTCCTGTAAGCCTTTGTTATAATGCACATTGATTGCCTGAAAGATAGCAGCCCTTAAATAGTCCTTTAAACATCTCATATTTATGGTCTCTGTAACAAGTTCATTGAACAAATACCTATTGAAAAATCCATCTTGGGCAAGGTACTCCTAAGGAAATGGCAGTGAACCACAGTGAACCAGACAGACATGGCCTGGTCCTCATGGTGTATCCAAGTACAAACAGGATGAATGTCAGCAAAGCAGAAACCATAAGAGACTTGGAAAGGATATGATATGGGGAGGGAAGTAGCTAAATAAAAGGTTAGTGGGAGAAGAGACAAGGGATGGTGGAGTGCTAGAGGGGAGGGAATATTTTAGGCTCTACTTTCAGGCTCAATGGAGTGTCATGGAAGTAGAGAGGACAAGGAGGGAGAGTGGTTAGAGATGAGGGAAAGACTTAAGTAGTGAGGGTCTGGATCCAGAAGACCTATAAGGCTATGCTAAGAATAGACTTTGGCAATCTAAGTGACCACTGAAGTGATTCTGATGGCAGTGGGATGAAGAAAGGAGAACAATTGGAAGAGAAGTTTGGGAGTTAGAACTTATAGGTCTTGGTGATTCGATGTAGGAAGGAAGAAGAGTCCAGAATGATGCCTAATCTTTTCCTTGGTAACAGGTGTGACAATTATGACTAAGCAGCTATTTATACAATTCTTTGTTTAATGTTTGCCTTCCTCACAAGATTATAAGCAACCCATGTACCCTTATGTACACGCTGTAGGCTTGTGTGGCACACAGTCATGTTTAAACACTATTTGAACAACTGTGAATATGAATTGGGGACAGGAGGAGGATGGAGAAGACTGGGTGTGAAATCGGTTTTGACTGTGCTGCATGGCAGCTTCTGTGAGACACCCAAGTTGAAATGTCTGGAAGCAATTGGAAATGTAAGTCTAAACCCCACAGGAGCAAGATGGGCAGGCAGATGTGGGAATCCTGAACACAGAAAAGGCAATCCAGGTCATGGAGCTTATGAGAAGGCAAATGAGAGAACAGGAAAAGAGACCCTCAGAGAGCACTATGGGAAGTGAAAATCCAAGGTAATGAGGAATAGAACCTAAAAAAAAAAAAAAAAGGAAACTAAGAAGGGGTGGCCAATATTCTGGGTTGGAGGAAAGCCAGGAGGAAAGGGAGTCCTGAGGTTTAAGGAAAGGATGTTTAAGGATGGAGGAGTCAGCACAGCCCAGTGCTTCTGAGAACACAAGCAATGAGGAAATGGATAACCACGTGCAATACAGTAGTGGGAAAACCCAGAGTTGAATTAGGTGAAAGTGGAGAGGAGAGAAATGAATTTGGCAACTATGAACTCATTAATTGATCAATTAGCCAATTGTCATCTTTTCTTCTTTTTTCTATGCCAGGGACCCACATGCCAGGCAAACACTCCATGACTGAGCTACATCCCAGCCTGCAATTGTCATCTTTATTCAGAGAGGAGAAAATGAACAGCATGAGTTTTTAAAAAGAAAGAAGAGACGGTGAAGCCCTTGCTGAGGAGACACCATGGAGGTGCAGGCCAGGCAGGGGCCCCAAAGTGGGAGGGGTGTCTGATTGTTGCATCATTTTGTCTTAGGTCAGCCTAATCTTCACCTTCAAAGAAAGTCAAGGGATTTACTGGCAGGCCTTGGTGAACCAATGGAGCATCATCTCTCACACACAGATCTTGTTAAGACCCTAACCTAAATCGCAAGAAGATGAAGTTCTCTTGAGAAATTCTGGCACATTTCTGTAAGTTCCTCAGCCTGTGCTCTGCAAACAAGCTGGCCAGTGGAGAAAGCAGAGACTACTGAAAACAACCACATAACCTCTCTTAGATGAGAAACTGAACTGATTAGTTAACCTTTGTTTTAGTTCAGGGTTGTGATTTGTGTATGTCATAATTCTTGCCCCTTATCTAGTTATCAGAATGTTGGAAGAACTAATACAATCATTTATGTCACATACTTTAAACTTTAATGTCAATTGTAAAGGTAAAGGTGACACTTCCTTTCTTAAGTGTTACCACATTAAACATTAACCTAGTGCCACCACTGCAGGTTTGTACATTCAGCCCATTGCTAAGGAGACTGCCTTTGGAAATTGAAATGATAAAGTACCAGTTCTGTTTCTGCTCTCAAAATCTCGAGAATTAAATACCAGGGAAAGTTGGTATGAAATATGCCTTTGCCGGCAGACCCTCAAAACATCCCTTACCTTCTAGGCCTCAAACTAATGCCCAAGTGACCTTGGCTTCTCCAGGCCTGTAATCAGCAGCCTACTTTGCCTGGCAGCCAGTACTCAACTCCTCTGATTCCTGGAGGCATCCCCTGGTCTAAGGGAATGTGGAAGAAAGAGTCCCCTCTTCCCTCCATTCTCTGTGTCCAGTCACTTTGCCATCTGTGATCACCACAGCCACAGAACTACTGACTCAGAAGAGGTTAAAGCTGATTTGAGCAGAAGTCTGAGCCAAGCGTGCACAAATCCCAGTGTCTACCCAGAAAGCAGTATCTCCATGTCACACAGAAGGCTCATGTTAGATGTGTTGATTCAGAGATCAGGGAAAATCAAGGAATAAGGAAATGATAGTAGGAATACTGTCCTCTCAATGTACTTTGCTAACTGCAAACATGTTTTTGTGTGTTTCCCATAAAGTTCTGTTCCCACTGGACTTTTGTAATAGTGAGGATTAAGGGACTTACAGGTTTCTCAGAACCACCCAGGATTGGAGCTCCAAAATGATAGTCTCTCTCTCTCTCTTTCTCTCTCTCTCTCTCATTAGCACATATTAACTGTACAAAGGGGTTTCATTGTGATATTTCCATACTATGTACTTTGATCAAATTCACCCCTCTATTACTCTTTCTTATCCCAGATTTCTCATCAACCAATTTTAACAGGTTTCATTATTCTATTTTCATACATGTGTATTCACCCCACTAACCCTTTCCTTTCACCCTTCCATTCACATTGGTTGCCATGCTATCTCCAAACAGTCCTGTGTTTTAAACTTTAGACCTATTTTTTTAGGTCTAGATTCTGCATGTGAGAGAGAACAATGTAATATTTGTCCTTCTCAGTCAGGCTTACTTCATTTAACGTGATGATTTCCAGTTCCATCCACTTCCTGCAAATAACATAATTTCATTCTTCCTTATGGCCAAATAATACTTCGTTGTATATATATATATCAAATTTTCTTTATCCATTCTTCAGTTGATGGATATATAGGCTGATTCTGTAGTGTGGTTATTGCTATAAACACAGGTACAGATTTCTCTATGTATCTATATGTGCAGACATATTCTTTTAGATACATGCCCAAGGAGTGGTATAGCAGGACACGTGGTGCTTATTAGTCTTATTAGTCTTTTGTGGAACCTCCATACTGATTTCCATAGTGGTTGCACTAATTTACATTCCCACCAGCAATATACAAGGGTTCCCTTTTTCCCACATCTTCACCAACATTTGTTGCTTGCTTTATTGATGACTGCCATTCTGACTGAGGTCAGATGAAATGTCAGTGTCATTTAGATTTGCATTTCCTTTATAGCTAAGGATGCTAAACATGTCTTCTTGTATTTATTGGCCCACCATACTTCTTTTTTTAAAAACTGTCTGTTCAATTCATTCGCCAATTTATTAATTGGATTGTTTGCTCTTTTGGTGTTTAATTTTTGGAGCTCTTTATATATTCTAGATACTAATCCTTTATCAGATGAATAGCTGGCAAAGATTTTTTCCCATTCTGTAGGTTGTTTCTTGATTCTAGAAATTGTTTCCTTTGCTATGCAGAAACTTTTTAATTTGTTAATTCTTGCTCTATTTTCTTAGCAATTGGAGTCCTATTCTGAAAGGCATTACCTATGCCTACATATCCAAGCGTCTCTCCTATGTTTTCTAAGCAAAACAATGAGTCTTCATTTCCCTTTGTGTTTCCCCATCTCTTCTACACTGGGAAGTTTTTCAGGACACCACAAACCTCTTCTATCAATATTTCCATGTATCACTCCAATCTACCAGAGGACCACCATGGCTGTCTTAGAAATTCATTAATTAAAAAAAACATATTAAGTTCCTTCTATTTTCTGACTTTACAGCAAGCTCTGCACATACAGATTTGACATGATTCTCAACTTCAAAGAACTTACAGTTTAGTTTTGTTGAAAAGAAAAAGAAAGCTGGGCACCAGTGGCTCACGCCTGTAATCCTAACTACTCAGGAGGCAGAGATCAGGAGGATTGCTGTTCAAAGCCAGCCCAGGCAAATAGTTTGCGAGCTCCTATCTCAAAATAAATAAATAAATAACTTTTAAAAAAGGGTTGGTGGAGTGGCTGAAAGTGTAGGCCCAGAGTTCAAGCCCCAGTACAGTAAAAATAAATAAATACATACATGTATACATACACTCATAAATATAAAAGGAAAGTCAAAGGATTCTGGAGACCTAAAGCACTTTCTGGAATAGACAGGTGGTTGATTACTCATGGGTGTCCTTTGTATCCAGTGTCATCTTCTGAGTCTGTACTATTGAAACCAAGACTCTGAGTCCACATGTACCTGTGCAGGCTACTACGAGCTTCGTGATTACACTGCTAAATTATTTTTGACAATTTTAATCATTTTAATGACTAAGTCAAAAATATAATTTTTTAAATTAAGGAACCCTAATACTGAGGTAGATGCTGTTACAGATACTATATTGTTTACGATATAAATATGATGAAACTAAGTGAGAGAAAGCACTGATTTAAAATGATCTTCCTGCTGTAGAGTAGAAAAATTAACTAATTTTTCTTTCTCTCTGCTCATACATACCCTCTGGTGGATTTATAATCTAATAAAAGAACAAGAATGAGAAAAAATAAATAAAAAAATAAAATTATCTTCCTTTAAACTCAGATGGAGAATTAAGGATCTTTTCAATTCAAAGTTCTAAGCATGAAATCCAGGTGTGACAAACTCAGCAGCTGAGGGCAAGACTGACTCTAATGAAAGAGCAATAACGCAGTTGTCCTGGAGAAGCCAGTAACTAGGCACCTGATAGTTCCATCTTGGCTCATCCCCAGGCGCTCAGGATTTGGATTCTTGAAGCTGCTTCAGCATTTAACTAATCCTTTGTTGGTTGAAGGGGCTAGGACAATTTCTCCACACATAAACTGATCTTTGCCATAGATCACTTTCATAATGAGAGAGCAGCCAGGACATGTTGCCACGTCTTCCCCATTCTCCAAATCTTCCCTGGTGATGGAGAAAATATTGCTGCAACGACAGGAGTAGAAATATGTCTCTGAGTCCTCGGCATACTGGAAGTCCTCGATCTCCGCCTCGTGAAACACCCATGGTCACTGGAGTGGGCGAAGGGTTACGTCCTGTCAACTATCGCTACCCAGGTTGCTCTAACTTCGTGGGTGTCAGCCTGGACCTTAAATTTTAAACTGATCCTTAGGGGAAGGGCTTTTGTAGGTCTTCCCTCTTTGGTTATTTCTGAGGTATTCTTAATCCAGAAGGAACTTTCCTATGAGTTAGAGTCATGGGCACACCTGATAGTAAGTGCCAGGTACAGTGACTGAGAATTTTCCGTTCTCCCTCATTCTGATGATTCTGTTTGCCTTGTTAAAAGAGCCATGGCCTTATTATTCTGTAGGATTCATATTGACAATCAGATTTATAAGCTGAGTTTGGCATTTTCTATGTGGTTGATTCGTTCGAGTATCAGCACAGTGCTTTTATACTTTAATATCTGAGCTAACTAAAATAGTTGGTGCTTGAAACTGAGATACACAAAGTGAGACAAAAGTTCAGGATGTTTTATCACAATAGTTATTTGATATTTATTCCTTTTCTTTTATTTTTTTACTCTCATCCTCAAAGTTTTTTGGGGGGGATAGAACTGGGGTTTGAACCGAGGGCTTTGTGCCTGTAAAGCAGGTGCTCTACCACTGAGCCACACCTCCAGTCCATTTTGCTCTGGTTATTTTGGAGATGGGAGTCTTGCCAGCTATTTGCCCAGGTTGGCCTTGAACCATGATCCTCCTGATCTCAGCCTCTTAAGCAGCTAGGATTACAGACATGTGCCACCAGGGACCAGCCTATACTCAAATGAGACTAACCTGTAATTTGTATGCCACCAGTCTTAATGAATGTCCTGTAGATTAAAATAGAGCTCTCTGTAGCTTGTGAGCTCAAAATCATCTTGTATATAGTAACTATTCTGTCTTCATTTCATTCTTCTTTTTTTCTTTTTGGCAGTACTGGGGTTTGAACTCATGGTTGCCTTGTGCTTGCTAGGCAGGTACTCTACCACTTGAGCCACACCCCAGCCCTGTTTTTCCTTTAGTTGTTATTGAGATAGGCTTATTAATTGAGATGGGGTCTCCCTAACTTTTTGCCCAGGCTATCCTCTAACCATGATCCTCCTGAACTCTGGATACCTGGGATGACAAGCATGAGCCACTGGAACCAGTTCATTTCATTCAATTAACACTTATTGGAGACCTTCTAAGAGGCAAACTCTATTCTAACTGTTGAGAATATATCACTGAACAAAGCAGTCAGGGGAGCTGAGTGTTTAATAGGCTTAACCAAAAATGTCAAGTAACCAATTTTGAGAATGAACTTTGCTTTTATGGATAGAATTGACCAGATCTCAGCTCATCAGAAAGTTACAGCATGGTGTGGTTACTGGGCCCTGGATTTGCAATCAGGAGACATGGTTGTAGTGTTATCTCTCCAAATATCCTTGCCATATTTTGGTTCTAAGTTTTCTCATCTATTATGCAATGGTGCTTAATTTCTTCATCTCAAAGTCCATTTTGGATTGAACAATGAAACAGTCTATTAGTGTACAATAGATAACAGACTCTTACTTGTTCAATTATGGAAAACATACATACAATGAAAGGTTTAGATCACAGGAATTTATTTATTTAATATTTATTTAGTTTTGCAGTGCTAGGGAAAGAAATCAGAGGTTGCACATGCTGGGTAAACTCTCTGCCACTGAGCTACACCCCCAGCCCAGGTTTATTTTTTAAGTAAAGAAATATGTAAGAGTCATCCTAAACTCATACACCTTCTGTAGCTATGATATAGTATAGAATTACATATTATGTTGGGAGCAATGATGAAGCATTGCAGGATGCTGAATCAGTAAGGGAAGATTTAATTACATTCATTAGACTACTTATTAAAGCAGAAAATGGACTGAGGCAATTTAGAGAGAGAGAAAAAAATGTCTTCTCATTAACCCACAGTTAATCAGAAACCCAATTAACCAGTATACTCTCCTCCACAATCTGACAATTTTTAGACCTACTTATTCTTCTTTACAGCCATAGCCAAATCACTGATCCAGATCCCAGCCATTCCACATCTACACTGCGAAATCAATGGATTCTTTCTCCCTCAAACTATATGAAATGCTTCCAGCAAGACAATCACTTCAGCAAATGGAAACAATCATTTCTATAAGAAATAGATGTGAGTGAGATCATAAGATTCTGAGTTTTGCTTTACAACACTCTAGCTATATCTACTAAGTATGTGTGGACTTGAAAACACACAAAAATAAGAAACGAAACATTTGTTTTCCAAGTGTGCTTTCTATTTCCCTAGATCTTAGTCTTCCTAGTTTCTAAATGTCTGGAAGCATTAACGCTGCTTAAGAAGGGTCTCTGGAACATGCACCTCACTCAGGAGGCTAAGGTGCAGAAGGGCTGCCCCCTCATTGCCATGTCTGAGAATACAAAGCTAAAGCAAACTCTGGAATTTTAGTGGCCAGTTAAACTGGCCCAACT